GACGAAGTTGATCTTCTTCTCTCTCCAGGCCTCGTAGGCACGGGTGCTCACGGCTTCGGCTGAGTCGACGGTTGCGGAGTTGTCCTCATCATCACTCACGTCGAGCACTAGGTTATACTTTGACCCATTCTCGTCGCACAAATCGACGACCGATACCATCATCAAAATTTGATGATGGTAGCGATGTATTTTTACACTGCCGATGCAAGATGGAGACCGCCGGATACCTTCCGGATCCAAGAGTTTAAGTTCTCTTCGTCAGATGTGTCGGCGTCGACGCTGAAACGCCACATTATCTTTAGACCACTGGTGCACACTTTCACATTCGTTTGGTTATGCAAACGGCGGCGATTCGCCCGAAGCGCCGGTCGCTCGTGATCGCTTTGCAAGCATCTTTCAAGGTGAGCTCGACGTTTCCATCCCAAGATGATAAACCACGCGAACCACAGGCGTTCGGCAAGTTGAAGTCCATCATTGCCGCCGAGCTCAAGCACCTCGCCAAGCACGAAAAGCTATTGAATGCAACGTGCGCGTGGAAAGCCGAGCTGCTGCGGCCACTGTCGGCGCCGCGCATCCGCATCCAAACCATGTCAAAAGCGCGCGTCTTCGGCGTCCTCGCCGTCTACTACATCGTCACGGTCGTCCTCGTCTTCACGATCGTCCTGGACCGCACCTCGAGCACGTTTGCGACGCCGCCCGTGACGGCCGTCTCGTCCGCGCTGCTCGAAGTGTCGCCGACGACGGAGACGATCAGTCTCGACATCATGTCAAGCTCGTTGGCCTACCTCGATGCGATCCTTATAAACGCAACAACTGGACTCGGCAACATTACCATCTTTGCCTTCCCCGACACGCCGTCGCAGACGCAAGTGATTCCGTTCGAGAGTCTCAACTGGTCGCCCAGCAGCAGCCAGTCGATTGCGTCGTCGCCCTTTCCGATCGCATACCGCGTGCTGTACCGGCTCAAGGTCGACCTGTACAGCAGCGTGTTTATCAACGTCTCAATGAGCGATACAGCTCCCTTCACCGTCCACGCTCGGACGGGGTACACGGCGCTGTACATGATGACGATCGTCGGCTCGCTCGTGACGGTCATCAACATCTCGTGTGGAATCTACTTTCGCATGCGCATCCGAGCGGTTGCCATCCCGGGGCAGACGCTGCCGCAGTGGGACTGGGTCCAACTGCATCTTTTGGCACTCTTGCTCTGGAGCTGTGTCCCATACGAAGTCGCGGTCTACAAGGCCGTCACAGACGGCTTGACCGTCGACGAGACCTTCCGTCAGATCGCATTTTGGGTGCGGCTTCTCGGCAAGAACGGGTGTCGGCTCGCGGTGCTGCTCTTCTGCGACGGCATGGCGACCACCAACCCAAGTCGCACGTTGCGATTCTACACCAAGAAGGTGGTTGCGGTCGCGGCCCTCACGGTTGTCCAAGGCGCCAGTCAGATCGCGTCGTCGCCGTCGTTCATCATCGCGCTCTTGTACTTGAACACGTGGCTCGAGTTTTTCGTGCAGTGTGTCATGGTGCTCTGGCTCGCATACCGCCGAGGGCAGCGCGTGCGTCGCCAGCCGTACCGCAGCGCGACGTTCGAGTACACGACGTACGGCGTCATTTCGATCTTGGTCGTGCAGTTTGCGATCGCGTCGGCCTACAGTCTCATCCGCCGCTTGGCGGTTGTCGGCGCGTCGAGTCCGACCGATTCGAGCACCTCCGTGCCCAACGCACAGCAAGCGCTTACGCTCGCGGGCCTCATTCGCGATCAAATGTTTGCGTGGATCGTCCTCATCTGCTACCTCCCATTGCCGCCCTCGTCGAGCGTTCTCGACGAAACCTCGACGGCGTTCTCCCTCACCGAGGCGTCGTCGCCGTCGCCGTCCGTCTTTTGCCTCGAGACAGCGGTGACGATGCTCAACCTCTCGGTGGCTAGTTACTACACCTCGCACTTGCACCGCCGCCACTCGCCGTCCTCTTGTGGGCACCTCGGCAAAGACATTCCGGACCTCGACGTCCTCGACTGCACGCTCCTCGCTGCCTTTCACGACGCCCCGACCGACACCAACGGCGTGCTTGTCTACGAAGAGCGCAAGGAGCGCTACGTGCTCGCTTTCCGGGGCACTGGTAGCATCAAGAACGCCGCGACGGACCTCAAGTCGCGCCAGATTCGGCTGCCCGGCACGGCCTACGCATCGGAGAAGATCCGAAAACGCACCAAGGGTAAAGGCACCCGGCACTTTGTGCAAGTGCACTCGGGCTTTTACCACGCGTACGTGACGCTGGAGCGGTATCTGCACGCGGCGATTGGCAAGATTCCGGACGAGAGCGTCGTCGTCTGCACGGGC